TTTTACGTATTTTTTTTTTAACCATATAGCACTAAGCGATAGGGAAACATTATTTGTGTTTCTTCAGATGCCCAGCTTAGATCATCAGGCCAATTAAAGGACAAATGTTAGTACTCTTGCCTCAGGACCGCAGCCATCTCTGCACCTGTAACTCAGAGAATGAAAATGCTGGTTATTTATGTTGTACTTTCCGCCTCTTGGATCTCTAGTGAGTTGACCTGATTTTTATAGCCCTTTCACCCAAGCAATGAGGATTCTTCCCCTCACTTCATCGCCCCCCCCCACACACACACCCCATAACGGAGTGGCTTAGGAGGAGATCTGTAACTGGGATGAAGCAGCTGTTGGCTTCATGCCGTCCTCTAACTTGATTATTCTTTGGACACGTTAGGCAAGCATTAGTGATTGATAATGACGCTAATTAACCCCTTTCCTTTCCAAACAGTAAACTGCTGCCAGCAGGATGCTACAAACAATAAATATAAAACACTGCATACATCAATATCTGTTTAAAGCACAACTTCATTTGGGCACATTTAACCACACTGCTTTCAGTTAACAATTCACTATTTATTCAAGCACTTCTCCCAAAGCCGGAGGGGGCAGGCAGAGGAAGAGAGAGGGTTAAGAAATGGGGCCTGCAGCTTTAAGACCACAAAATGCTGTCATACCTGTCAGCTGCAGCAAAGTTAAGCTCTAATGGAAACCATGCGTAATTTTTTTAAATTTTAGGTCAATACTTTTAAAAAACTTAATTAATCCAGCTCTGTTCTTAACCTATTTAAACTTAGCGCAAGACTGATGACCACATGATTTTTTTCTTTGTGGGGGGAAAACAGCTCTCCTGCCTGACATAGCATTATTATGAATTTATTTTTGATTGAGAAAGAAATGGGAAACATTGTTTCATAAAGAGTGGTGAAATTTAGATTTTAAGCAGGATTTGGGGTAAACCAGGGCAAATTTGATCTGATTGTGCAGTCTTAAATAACCTGGGTTGTAAAGAAATGTACATTAAATTTGGAATTTTGATAAATGAATATTCCTAGCAAGTGAATAAAATGTATTCAATTAACTAAAACCCTGTGCACTTCTGAACTGAAGTGGAATCGACTGTAATTGATTTATTTGAAACCAGAGGTTAAGGACTGAATTAGCTAAGTACAACTGGGTATTTCAAGCCACTGACTTCTCAAATGTCAAATCCCTTCTATTTTAAATATTATTTCAGCTGCGGGGCATTGCAGTCCTGATGGTAGTTTCATCAAGAACTCAAATTATATTAATATTCGATTTTGGGGAGGAATGGGTTAGATGGTGATTTTCAGAGGATGTTGGAGAATAGAAGAGGTAATGAAGGAGCATTGTGTTTCCATAAAAATTGGGCGTGGTAATTAGCATAGCCTAGCAAGCATTCTTATAATTCAACTATGTATCCTAATTTGACTTAATTCAAAGATAATCACTGCTGTTAGTATATAAACATGTGACCTGTCCAATAATCACCATGTGTTTTAGAAAATACACATTAGTTACAACAGAAAAAGCCAAAATCCATATAGCCTTTGATTAGTCCCATAAAAATTATTTTTTAATAATAACCCCTCTAATCTTCCCACTCCTTAAATATGTGTGTGTGTGTGTGTGTGTGTGTGTGTGTATAAACTTCTTTTACATTTTTGTTAAAGAAAGGAAAAAGAAGTGGCAATATAATGGTCCTCAAAATGTCCAACTACAGAATAAAAATAACTAATTCTGTGCCTTTGGAAACCATTGTTTATTATGACCTTGTAATGTTCTAACCTACTATTTCCTTTCTGTCTTAGGATGCAAGGATTATATTGGGTTCAGGTTTTCCAACATAACAAGCATCTGTAAATCCAGATATGAATGAATGGTATTTAATAAGATTGTTTTCGTTTTAAAATGAGTATTTATGTGTCGTTGGAGAAAGAGCAGCAATGTATGGCTGTTTATGAATGCTATTGTGCCTGAGGTTAGGATCCCCCCACACAATCTGAGATGCAGCCAAGAAAAACAGCCCTGATAGACAATGCTTCACTTCACCTGCTACGATGCTGTGTGCATTTCATTTCTGTCAAGAGTATGTACAGTTAGGGTTCATTCGCCTCATTATTTTGTTACATCTACGTTACAGTTAACCAGTCTCTCTAGGAAATAATAAATAACCGCTTTAAAAAACAATTGCCGCCTTGCGTTCTGAGGATACACTCTCCATTTGAATTTTTTTTTTTTAACCCACCATTGTTATGAATTCTCTGGCTTTGGAAAATAGAATTTAGACTCCACCACCTCTCGTTCGTCTGTTGGGATTGATTTTACACTGCCTTCCATAAGGAGATTAGAAAGCAAAGGGCTGCAAAATGGACACTGCCTAATGCTTTGCTTCCTTGTCCTTCGGAATGTCGAACCGGATGAACAAATGTTAAATCTCCTCCAGTATGTAGGAGATTATACCTATACCTAGATACTTTCCCCATGACTTTTCCTGTAAACCTTCCAGTTAACCACTCCCATTTTCTTCCGAAAAATCATTAGAAATCTTTATTTCCAAAGCAAACCTTTTCAAATCAGTTTTAAAAGCTCTGAATTTGCCAGTTTTATGTACAGAAACTCCTTCCTCTGGAAGAGCTAAGCACACAGTCCTGTTATTGCAGAAGACAGATAGAAGTCTGCAGAGGCCCTCCCCCATCCCCCCCCCCCCCCCACCTCAGAGAACATTTTATATTTCTAAGAGGTTCTAGGAGGAGCCCTGTGGTGATAGAAAGGGGTGGGTCGGCATTTAGGGGCAGGCAGAAACGATTCTGGGAATCAACATTATTCCCCCCTTCCCTCTGCTACCACAGAGCTACTAAGAACAGCGTATGAGTGAATTCATCTCTAAACAGAATATTAAAATAAATGGGAGACAGTTTGCCTTCTCTTTCTCTGCCCCACGTACATTTCTGCCACTATTCCTTTCTCCTTCCAGAAAACTAGGGCTAGCTTTAGTTCATTTACATGTCTTAGCCACTGAGAAGCCCGAGTTAGCAAGTGAAGGTTGAAGCGGGTATTTCCTCTGTGCTAATGAACTAACAATTTAAATTTCAGTTATCTGGAGATGGATTCCAAAATAGTTAGGGGTGGGGGTGGGAAATCCTCTGTTCTGTTCTCCACCTTCCTTGTCACCCTTAATGTTTGGTTGTGAAGGTTTTATATTTTGGTTTCCAAACGCAAATGAAAACCTAAAGGATCAACATAAATAAAATAAAACTTTATTTTTAATAATAAAATTAATGTTTCTAGTAAGGAAAAGATAGTGTGTCATTCCTTTAGCAGTACAAACAAATCTTTTATCCAAAAGAATACATTGGGTTTTATTGTGTCATTTGTCTGAATACAGACTCAGTGGAATATCTAAATGATACCCTGCTCTGAACTCCAAGTTGAAAGTAAGTTTTTATTATACTTGAGGGAAACAATGGGTTCAGCTGCTTATTGCAAGGAGCAATTGCCAAGGGAGAGTTAAACTCAATTACTGTAACCATACTGAATAAAAAATACTGCCAAGAACAAAAATACGCCTGGGTAAAGACAGCCACTGAATAAAAAAAAATCGACATAAAGCGTATCAAATATTTATTTATCTGGGCAACAAAGGACTATGATACATTGACAGGCATGGAAACTACTGCCAGCACAACTCAATACAATACAACTAGAACTGCTTCCAAAATGGCCAGTGAAAATACAGAATACCAGGTGGTCCCAAATGTTTGAAGTTCTTTGAACAAAAAGAGAGAAAGAGAGGAAAAATCCCTAACCCTTGGTTTAAAGACAATACTCATTTATTGCTCAAGTGATGCTTTTAAAAGGGAGGACCGTGGAATAAAATCAACTTTTTTCCCCTCCCTACAATACATAGAAGGGTCATGAAACCACTCAAGTTTAAAAATTTTTCCAGGGTCCAATATCAATTTTTCTTTCAGTTCAATGAAAAGTTAAATGTAATTCTAATTTTATATAAAGTTTTACTTTATTTGTTTTGTATTTGTTCAGTTGTTTCATTGTCATCTTTAACATGCTAAATTCATGAATCCCAGAGGAAAATAAGAATCCCCCCAAACCTTGAATTTCTAAATAACCATGAACCACATGAAGAACTAATAGGGAAGATTCAAAACCCACTAAACAAGAGGTAAACGAGATCACCAGATAAATTAAAAAAAAAAAAAAAAAAAAAAGGCTTAAAACAGACTCACCATATTTACACTTCCCATTAAATTACACATAAATAAATATATACAGAGACATGAACACTGATTCCCTTATATAACTGAATCGTGTTGCCAGAGAAAGTTCAAGTTGGTCGCTTTACCTTGAAGAGGAGAAAAACTTCTACAACTGAGACATGACATGGAACTTCGTGTATTTGTGTTCAAGTTTATTCACAATACTGATAAAAATGTCATTATCCTTTTTGCCTTTTTTTTTTTTTTTTAAATAGTATGGCTACAATCTGAACTGAAGAATGTAAGGGAAGGTGGTGATTCAGTCCCATGAAGCTCATATAATTTTTTTTTAACTTTTACGTTCTTTTTTTAGAAAAAAAAGTTTTAAATTTTTTGTTGTTGCCGTTGTTGATTTGTGGGTTTTTTTTTTATTATTATTATTTTAAAAAAAGGTTCACAAACTCAGACAGAACTTTTCTTTGCTGGCTTCACGGCCTGTTCTGTTCTCTTAGGCTCCACATGAGGGCGAAGGGGGTCGGTGCCGACGGGGAAGTAGAGGCAGGGCCCGAGTCAGCAGGCGCGGCCCCGCTGACGGGGAGAGCGGTCCCCGAGGCTCCCAGACCAGGGGACCGAAGGCGGCGGCGGCGGCGGTGGCAGCGGCATCAACAGCAGCAGCAGTAGCAGCAGTGGGGGTTGCTGATCCCGGAGCTGTCACCTGCCGGTGGTGGTCGGTGGGGGGAAGGCTGAGTGGGTGGGCGCTTGGGGGTGGGGGGGCTGGCGAGGCATGGGAGGGGGCAGGGCGGGAGGAGAGCCTCACTTTCTGTGTTTCTCCTCTTTGTCACTGCTTTTGGCGCTGTTGTCCGTGTGGCTGTTGGGGTTGTTGCTGAGGTACATTTTGTCCATGGCCTTGAGGGCCTCGGTGAGATAGTTCTGCAGGGCCGTGACCGCGGCGCACACCGCCGGGCTGCCGAAGCCGTGGGAGATGAGGTTGAAGTGGGTCAAGCAGCTCTGGATGCCGGGCTCCAGGATGGGGTTGGGCCGCGAGTTCCCCAGGGGAGATCGGTCCTGAGCCAGCAGGTCTGTGAACTCTTTGCATATCTGTCTGCAGCACAAGTGAAGCAGAGAGAGAGAGAGAGAGAGAAAGAGCGACATGAGACTCCCCTGTGGCAGCACCAGCAAGAAAGAGAACCTTCCTGCAGTTACCTCTGCAGGGATCCAGCCGACACTGAGCTGACCCAACACCCCGGCCCCAGAGACAGACTGGCAGTGGCTACAGGCTGGGAGATCCAGCAGTGTCCACTAAAACATCTCTCCTTCCCTAAATACTCCACTAATTCTCTCTCCCCACCCCCTCCCAATCCTCACCCTCCTCTCAGCTGCACCAGCTTCTAACCCCCTCCTCTCTTGCTCACACCAAACATCCTAGACACGGGAAAACATTTCACACATGAGAAGAGAAACAAAGGCGAGTAAGAGGGACACTGAGTCAAACACAAGCCTCTCCACCAGCTGTCCTGGTGAAAATATTCTAGAGACCCTCTGCTCTGATCTCAAGAGACCTCAGCAGCAATCTGTGGGATGAAGTCTGCTCATTCACCTTCAAATCAGTTGCATGTGAACAGAAAGGCAAAACTTTTCTTGGCATTATTTTGCCTTTTTTAAAAAGGCATGAAAAACCTGTTACTTGGGGATATTCAGAGTGGTTTTGGGGAAAAGAGACATTTCATTTTCCTATACCACAGCTTTTCCCATATATTGAAATAAAATAAAACTTTCTAGGGAAATTGTGAATATGGGCATGCTGACAAACCTAAGGGAAGAGAAAAAGTTGAAATACAGGCAGATGAGGCCTGCACACTGGAAGCCTGTCTCAGAATCTGGGAAATAAGAACTAGCTAGGGCCTTGGGGGTGGAGTTGGGGAGAAGGGAGAATGGGGAGCAGAGGCAGCCTGCCTTCCCCAAGGACAGCTGATGTCCCCAGGCCAGAAACTGTCCTACCTGAGGCCTCAGCCTCTGCCCTCTGGTTCCATGCTCTCCTGTGACATGGACTTTGATAATTAAGGGCTTCCAAACAAGCTTTTTTATTTCCAGAAAACCTATCAAGATAGCCCTTTTCTTTTCACACACCACCTGGAAAGGCTATTCAACCCAGGCATCCATGGGAATATAACTTGGGGCCATTTTGAAACCTACTTGACATCTTGCCTGTAGGCTAAAACTTGTGGGGTGTGTGTGTGTGTGTGTGTGTGTGTGTGTGTGAGAGAGAGAGAGAGAGAGAGAGAGAGAGAGAGACTTTCCAGGAGGGAGGAGAAAGAAAGGGAAGAAATGGGATAAGGGATTAGGGTTAAAACTAGGACAGCTTCTGGCTTACACATTTTGCAGGCCACTACTTAATTCTTGCCCTTGGAAAACACTGATGGAAGACAAAAACTGACCGAGGCAAAACAAAAACTTATATAGGCAAGACTGTTACCCCTTTAAGGGTGTCTTTCTGAAACAACAGTCACAAATCCACACTCAGCTTCTGTCAAACCCCTACTATCCCCCCTACCACCCCACCCCCTACACATTTTTTTTAAATGGGAAGGTAAGGCAAAAGAGAGAAAAGATGGAAATGCACAAACAATCCTCCTTGTATCTCCCTTTTAAAATAGATTATGGTTTATCAAATTGTGTTGTGATTTCAATATTTACAACAAAACTGATTGACAACAAAACTGATCTACACAAAAGGAAAAGAATAGGAAAGTGACAGCAAAATAAGACTTTGATTTTTGTTTCTTTTCACAATGAGACACAGAGACCCCGAAGAGGTAAACGCCTTACTTTGTAGCCAGGAGCATGTTTTTTCTTGTCACTTGCTCATTGGGATCGGAATGTTGTCGGTTGAGAAATTCAGCTACTGCTTTGGCAGGAAATTCGGTTTCACACACATACCCAAAGTCCCTGGCTAGGTGGACGGCTTCTCCTGGCAAGAGGTGAGAGGAGGGAGGCGAGTGCAAGAGAATGTAGAGTTGGGATCAAAACTTCCTCCCAACTCCCTTATTTTCTTAAACCAGATGTTGAAGGAAACACAAAATACTTGTTTTCTCATTTCAGGCATTTTATTTCCTTCTCTGTAGGATCTGGTGGATGTAGTTATCAGGAAAAATGGCCACTTATCCTAGAAGGCCAAGATGATTTGAAAATGTAAATCCCATCCACTACCCTCCAATCTCATCCCCCCCCTCCCGACACCATTTTCCCAACTTCTCCTTAAAAATGTTTCTTGTATTCCAACCTCATACCTATCAACACATTCATAAATGGTATTCATAATTACTCCTTGAGCTTTTCTGCAAGGTAACAACTAAGGGTTTACATTTTAACTTGATCGCATATAATTATCTGTTCATCCAAACCGATTAACCAAAAGGATTTGAGGGTCACTCCACTGAGTCTGTCTGTGTTGTTGATTTTCGAATCTTTGGTTTTAATTTCCTGAACCAGTTGGTTTTTACTGCAGGGCTTCCTGCCATTAGCTCCAGCTCCGGAAGAACGCATGCGCCAATTAGAGCATCAAAGCCCTCTCCGCAGAGCTTGTTTCCATAAAATGGAGCGGATCACAAACAATAACAGTTCTCCAGAAACTGCCTCCCTGCTACAGGACTCAACCCCAAAACCCATACACACTCTCACACTACACCCGAACCCACTACTAACATTTTCTTTGCATGTATTTATTTTGGTGTATGTATGAAGGGTTCCCTATGTATTGGTGTTATTTTTAATATAATGAGTATAATGCTACTATAGATAATTTTTGGCACTGAACAAATGCTTGTTATTTAAAAGTTGTATTATTATCATCTTTGACACCATTAACAAATGGTTCATAGAGTTCCTCCTCAAATGTATGGTTTTAAACATTTTTAGTGATTTACAAAGCTAGAAATCGAAGTCAACTGTATCGTATCTTCTCAAATACAAGATGTAAATAAGATAAAATGCCTTCTTTAAATATAAATGGCAGTTTTGAAATCTGCCTGATAATTTAAATGACTTTTTCCCTATAGCCATAAGGCATTTTCAACAGAACACAAAGGAAAATGCAAGCAAGCTATATGCATTAATTCCAACACACTCAAACATAAGCCAATTTAGTATCAGAAAAACTTAGAAATCTAGAGGAAGCAGGAATATGAGAAAATTCTAGTGACAGTGCATCTAGAACAGGGAGTGAGGACAGGGTTGGCTTTTGTTTTGAGGGGTTTGGAAGCATGTATGTGTGTGTGCATGCATGCATGTGTGTGTGTTTAAAACTACCAGGAGAAACTTTTCGCAATTCTCACATTCCTCTTTTCTTTTCCTATCCAAACAATTCAGTCTAAAATCACTCACTTTTTTCTCCTCCAAGTAAAGAAGCACAATTAAAGGAGAGATAAGGGAGCATATGTTTGGAAAACAAAAATGAAAAGGGTATATAACCCTGAGCTTTCAGGATGGTCTTAAATCAGGATGCAGGTCAAAGATTCCCAAATTAATTCAGGAAGTAATGGTCATGCATTTCTCAAATGCAGATGTCAGAATACCTTAAGTGATTTACTGCTGAGCTCTATAAGGGAGACAGGAACTTGGAGAATATGCAGTTCTTAAATTTTCACATTGTTTAGGTCAGAATTGGGCTAGGGAGGTGTAATTTTGTGGCAGAGGAAAGGAGTATAGGAATAAATGCAGATAGTTTTTTGACATGCAAGAATTCCATTCACTTCCTGCTTCATTCTCTGGAAAAAAAGAAAACTGCCCAATTGACACAAAATACAACCAAACATCTGGCCACTTAGTATTATCCATTTCCCCAGAAGAAAGTTGCCTTTAGTTAGCAAGTAGACTCGCTTACCCTCCACTAGTGATGTGAGCAGGGTGACATTGGCAGCTTTACGTCTCCCTGCTGGTAGATTTAATCCTATTTTGTCCAGCTTTTCTCTTAAAGATCTTCCTCCATTTTTAGACTTCGCCCTGTTTCACAAATATAGGCGAGAAAGGAATTTAGAAAACATTGGGTTGCTCTGTATCATATTATAGTCATTTTGACAACTTCCTAAAACGTGCTTTTAAAAATTAAGAATCAAGGTCCCAAGATATTTAAGGGAGGGAAATCTAGGAAGGAATGGTACAGAAAGATCATAGGAGATAAATGTTTATTAAACTGTAAAGCATCCTCTGTGTTCAGTTATTATTGCAACTACTATGGCAGGTTGGAAGGTTTTGATTTCCCAATTCTCTAAAGAAGAACCACAAACAAAAACAGTTCTCACCTCTAGGGTTTGAGGTATTTTTTTAGTTCAACTGATCACTGTATATTTTCCCTGTTGTTACAATCACATAAATCCCAATGGGGTCTTTAAATTGTCTTTGTAAGATCTGCTGTTAGGTTGTACAGAGTAACCAAAGTTATCATCACTCTCACATTTCTTGCTCTGGCTTCAGCCCCAATGGGGAATTCATTTCACCAACTGTTTACATGCCATGTCACCAGCCTAACTAGAAATGTCAAAAGCTGATATGGGCCTTTAAAAATTTCACTGATTTCAGAGACAATGGAGGCAGTTCTAAATAGATGTCTAAATAGACTTCCATAATCAGAAAGTGGTTAAGATAAATTGTTTAAATAAAACAGCAAATTAATTAATTTCAGATTTTATTCCCTACTCAAGTGCTCTTTAATTGTGTGGATTAGATTATACTCCCCTAGGTAAACAGTCTCCAATATTGGGGGTGGGGGAAGGGGAGGAAAAGGCAGAGGGCAGATTCAGATCTGTGACAGTGAAAGATTACAAAGGGACAGCAAAGTGACTGTGAAGGAGGAAGAAAAGATTAAAATAGCTGATGTTAAAACCTTCCAAGACCGGTTTTATAGGCTTTGTATGGGGTATATCCATCAGAGGAGAACTAAAAGTCTCAGGTAAATAAATGAATATCAAAAGGATAAAGTTTGGGTCTTTTTCTTACTTTTTTTTTTAAGGAAGAAGAAAGTATCCGGGAAAGTTCAACACAGGACCCACCACTCACAACATTGGGTGGAACCCCAGGCGGAAGAAGCCCACAAGAGGGAGAAAACTGCCCTGAGGGATGATGCTTCACCTCACTGACCCTTATAAAATCTTATCTACGAAATCAATCATTCCGACCTCGCGGAGGTGAGGCCATGTATGTAACCTGCATTCGTCGGTAGCGACTAGACATAATACACTTAAACGTGCCTTGCATGCTGCTGGCGCACATCAGGGCCGCTGTCTCCCGCAAGCATTAATGCGAGTGCCTGGGGCACGGGGAGTCACCGTCTGGCCGAGGTGGCAATGACCAGCGGGCATGGCGTGCGGACTCAAGAGAAAGCCACTATCTTATACTTAAAATCCTATTCAAGGAACGACGGGTTACCGTCGGAGACCCTACACGGAGGTAAGGAAAAGTGAGGAGCCCGGGAGGAAGTTTCCGGGGCCGGGAAGGTGTGCGCAAGGAGGTAAAAAGCAGCTGCACGGCGCCCCGCGGCTGCAGCAGCCGGGACTGAGCTCACCGCGAAGCAAGCTGCGCGTGCGCGCGGTACGGGAAGGGAGGGGCCGGATGGCCAAGTGAGCGCGCTGCCGCTTCCCACCCGGGCGCGCGCCAGAACCCCACCCCCGCGCCGGAAGGCGGTGGAGAGGGCCGGCGCGCCCCGCCTCGCCCCGCCTCCAGTTCCCACCCACACAGTTCCACGCCTTCTCCCCGCCCCTTTCCTTTCCGGCGAAGGGAGGGCAGCCGCGCGAGGCCCGTTTGCGTAGCCGCTCCGGCGCAGGCGCAGTGTCTCCCCCGGCCGCGGGGCGGTGAGGGTAGGGCCGCGCTGGGCCTCACCTCCGCAGCACTCCGCCCAGCAGCGAAGCGTTGAGACACTCGGGCGGTGAGAGGCGCCGCTGTACTTCCGCCACCGTGACCTTGTACTTCGAGGTGGAGCTGAGGAGTGAGAGGCGACCCGGAACTGAACAGAAGACTTCGTTGGGGTTCACGACGCCACCGAAGAGGTTGTCCTTGTTAATGGGGATGGCGGAGACGGCGTTGCTGTTGGACTTGGACAGGGATACGGGGCCTGCGGAGACAGACCGGAGGCCGTGTGTGGGCGCCGAGGATCCCTCCCAAGTCCTGCCGGACACGACTGTCTTCCCTGGCCAGGGCAGGCGCCCAGACTTGCGCTGCGACCCCCACTTTTCTTCCAGCCCTGAAAATTCCATGGCTCTTTTTCCCACCTCCTGCCCTAGTCCGAGCTCTGTGCCGTCCTAGGGATCAAGACTGCCTCGGCGCGCCTCACCCCTGGGCCTGGAGGTGTCCCCACCCAGCCCCGCCAGCCAGGCCTGTGCTTCTGCCTGGACCCTTTCCTTTTAGCCTCAGGGGTGCTGCCTAGAGATGGGGGTGAAACTGTGACACCCTCTGAGATCTCAGCATCCGAGGAAAGTGGGTCCCAGACGAGGTGCTCGAGCACGGGCTTAGGGTGCAGGGGAGGGGGTTACGTTTGCAAACCAAGCGCAAGCAAACTACGTGTACTTAGGAGTTTTGTGGAGTGAGGGGTTAAGTATTGGTGGGATATTACTTAATGGACCTATCATTAAGATCAACCCAGATTTTAGATGGCAAATCAGCCTGTAAGCGAGCATTTTCAGTTAAGGCACCAATCTGGGAAGTGGTCTGTTGTCACACACCACACTCTCCATCCTTTTGATAAATAGGCCCTTTTCTATGTTTAGTTTTGAGAAAGACTCGAGTTTTGGAGAACCATTTCAAGCCCCATTTTGTACTGGAAGGAAGAAAATAACAGGTCTACCACAGAATTCTAGTAATGTTGTCCTTTTGTTGAGCAAATAGTTATCCTCTGCTTAAGCGTCTTCTTTGGGAGGGGGGTGAGGAGGGGGATATATTACTAGTTAAAATAATTAGCTCTTCATTGTTGGGCCCACCATAGTTAGAAAAAAATTTCAAGTCCAGCAGAAAGTGTATAACGTTACATTTCTCAACACCGATATAATTCAGATCACAAACATTTAAGTACAGTATTCATTTGTATTTTAAAATTCCACATGGAGACATATATAATAATATGCATACATTCTTATCCCTGCACTCCTCCCTCTTTAATGGTGATACTCTAAATGTATAGGGAGGTGGGGGGCCCTAGTTTTGGATAGATCACTTGTGACATTAATAGCTCTGGGGAGGCTAATAGAGACAATAGGAGTTAAACGAACTCTTGAGAGATTACTAATAAAAGAGCCAATTATCATGTCGACTTGGAAAGAGCATCTCTTAAGATTTATCCCTTGCACATCTAATTTGATGTGACAAAGACTTCACAGACGCAAAAATGAAACTTTAAACTAGCTAACAATATACTGATTGGGGTTAGAAATGAGAACAGTTTTATATAGCATCGTCCTCTGGTGGTGCCTAGAATCCTGAAATGTAACATTGCCACCATAACAACAACAAAAAGCTGCTGTGAATAGCATTTAATCCAGTAAACTTTATTTCTACTCACTAAATACAATACAAATTACAAATCCATCCAAATCACTAGACACTTTCCAACAGCTTTTGCTATGAACTATTATGCTAACAATCCTGACATCTTCAAGATGCTAATTTTAACCAAAAGCCAAATTTTTGTTAACCTAATTCACAAAGTTTAAAAACCCTTAAAGAGCTAATGAGAAATTAAATTGAAAAACATGGAGAGTTTTTTTTTTCCTTCTGCTAAGAAGTGCTATGTCTTTTTATCATCTGCCCTTATATTAATAGTAAATTATTTGCACTCTTTTAGCATATTGCATTTCTTAACACTCCTGGCCACTCACACAATGGATTAACCAAACTATTAAAACATCTCAAAATTGAAATGCCACTTCCAAATCAGTTCAACTATTACACATTTTATGTGTTTGTCCAGATATCATTAAACTAAATTAAATGGTCAAATCATGAATCAGAACAAAGCTAGCCTGTTGCCATTGCTAGCCTACTGAAAGCCAATAATTTAAGCATTGCTGTTCCATGCCTATTTGCTAATTCTGAGCCTTCAGGAAAATCATATTTGAAAAAAATAAATACAGCCCTGCAAGTGCAAGTTCTTTTACATAGCACTCTGCCTGTAAGGACATGCTTGGAATGCAAAAGGAAATGGCTTACCTTTCTTAATTACAGTTTGATCTGGGATGTTAATACCCGGGTCTTCTACATGCTGCAACAAAAGGATACACATGGATGTAAGTATATAATCAAAACAAAAGGAAATGAATATTCCATGCAAGATGGGGGAGGGGAAGGTGTAGAATCAAAATTCCCCCCTTATAGTGACATTTATATATAAACATCTCATCTTGGCTTATTGGAATTTGGAGCTTTGCAACTCAAGAGGTTTCACTGCACACCCATGGCCAATTTCTCCTCCCCCAGCAAATAATTCACAGTTGAAAGAAGTGGGGGTGGGGAATAAAACTTTCTTTGGAAATTAAAATCAAGTTTTGGAGCACCTAATCTTTTTCACAATCAGTTCAACCTTTTAAAATGCACCTAGCATTACTTTGGCGCCTCGGTGGCTTCGGACTTTTAGTGACTCCAGGGTTCAGGCAGCAAAAGCCAGAGAAACACAAAAGAAATGACAGAGGCGGGAGTAACAGGGGAATACTGGAAACGTTTTAGGTAGTGTGATAAACAGCAAATGTATACACACACCTTCACTTATGGAAAAATGAAAATCATGTTTTTTAAAAAGACTATGGCCTAAATTGGACATCAGAAATATGAATGACAAAAAAACAAACAAAATAAAATCCTTTGAGGTTGTTTTCCTGTTGTACAGCAGATTTGTTGGGGTGGGGTCTTTCTTTCTTTCTTTTTTTTTTTGCAGACGGATGGGTATATGTGTGTGCCAGAGTCAAAACGTGATTAGAAAGTAAAATGAAATCATGTTTTCTAATGCAGAAACTGACAGGCAATATAATGTCTGGCTGTGTTTACAAATTAGCACCAGGGCTGCTGAGATAGAAGATTTCGCAATCGTTACCAAACACAGGCATTACCATTTAAAAAACTATTACTTCCTTCTCTAGTCTTTGTCCAACAATAATACTGATTCAAACATTTTCCATTCTGTCTTGGATTTATGCTCCTGTTAATTGTGCCTGATCGCAATGATTCCGGGTGGATGGTACTAAGTTGCTTTATTACAGGTTTTATTATACTCAATGCTCTCATTTGTAACTTGCCTAAAGTGCTTCTGGATTTAAGTATAATTAAATTGAGAAATGTTCCGAAATGAGTACTGCTGCAGTTCTTGTGTTTTAACTATATGGGGAAATATGATCCCTTTATGCATGCACCCTAAACTCATAAAGTAAATGTAGTGTGGCATAATACTTTTATTTGTGTTATTTCTAGACCTTGTCCATACAGGAAAGACTGTTAAGTTTAAAACCCCACTGAGATATTAATGATTAAATAATTTTCACCATCGATTTGATTTTCTTAAATATTTAGCAGTCATTCTTATTAAAGATTAACTGTTGCAGCAATGGGAAAATTGAAAACAACCCTTTTCCTGACCCAAATTCCTTTGAAATAATTTTTTTTCTTAAAAAGGTTGGGAAGGGAGGGGGAAAGCAGCAACTAGGTTTCCTTGTTTTTATTTGATCTTTCAGTTAATTTCTCCTACTGACCAATTTCACCACAAAGAGTGACTATACAGGTGTTAAGAATTCACACCAGCCACTTTGGAATTTTTGCAAAGTAGAGCAATTCTAATTCACAGTAGTCCCAAATTTTTGCAATTCAAGTATTTCCAAAGACCAGGCTAGGGAAAGGATTCAGAGACTCTTTGGGAAGAACTAAAATGATCACAACTTCCAGGTTTGTTTTTTAATTGCTCTTTTCTCAACTACTGCTCCTCTCATTTTTCCTTCACTTTCTAAAAACATATTCCAACACATACACACACACACACACACACACACACACACACACACGATGCTTACTAAACCCCACATTGGATCAAGTTCCTACTTTTCTGCTTTCCATGCAAGGCTGCTAAACATAACTAACAAATTTCAGTGATTAACTGGGCTAAATGAGAGATGTAATAAATTTTCTATTTTCCTATGTAACTTAAATAAAGTTTTAAATTCACCAAGCAAGCAGGTAAGTTCATCTGACCATTTTCCTTGCAATCTAATGCAGTAATCATTAAACTGTCAACGGACATATTGCTGCAATATTTGATGCAGTAATTTGAAATAGCATTTTAGCAAAAATCACATCCAGATACATTTCCTCTCCAAAGAAAAGCAGCATTAATAGAGCCTTTACAGCTTTAATAAAATTATTGGCTTGTTCTAATTCCATTTCAGGAAGGTTGTGAGGAAACCATAAATATGTAGAATTGAAACAGAGATGCTGGTTTAAATTTAATTTCAGAAAGTATTTTCAAATTATCAATAGCTGGTTTGCATTGTAAATAGTAATGTGCTAATACCATGCTTATTAAGAGATCATTTTAAACCACATTTATTGATAACTGAATTAAAACTCAAGTAATGTTGCCCAATAGTCTCAGAACATTTAATTTAATATGGGGTGTAGCAGGTTCTGATAGGCGTTGGGAACCTAGCTAATGATTTATGAGGTCAGCACTTAGCACCCCTAGGAAGAGAAGAAGGCTGCATTTTAATGTCCCTCTACTCAGATTTGCTGCTTAACTATTCCTTAATCAGGGTAGGGGATACACATAACTTTGAAATATCACTAATGCTTGTAAAATCCGGTAAAAAAAATTTTTTTTTTTTTTTTAGTGTCTTTTACACTTTCTTTCAAACTGACAGGATATTTAATGAGCTCTTTCGGTTGAATTTAACATCTTTTTCAGGGCAGGGAGAAATCCCACGCCAGACTCAGCGGTGGAATTAGATCCTCTCCCAATCGAAGCAGTTTACTGTCTTGGAGAGGGGAAGATATTGTGACATTTGTCTGATTTATTTGTGTTGGTGGAAATGGTAATACAGGCATTGTTTGAAGGAGTTCCAGGAACCATTGTTCTAGGGCAGAACTCTTACCTTATTTTTAATTTTTAAAATTCGGTTGTGTACGTGAGTCCTTCAAGCGCCCGCCCAAAAAATAAAATGAAATTTTGAAAAAGTAAACACCACTGAGGAAACCCGGGCCCACCGGCTCTGCGTCCCCGGCATCTTCTCCGGGAGGGCGTGGGGCTGCACTCCCTCTCGCGCCATCCGCGAGGCCTCTTACCGGGACGTCCTCGATGGCGTGAGGTAAGGAGTGGATCGGGAGGTCTCCGAGTCCTGAGCCAAGCCCGTGTGGGCCGTGCAGGAGGTCCTCGTGCCGTCGGTAGTCCCTGCGAGGATCCAGGCCCGACAGCTGGTGGGGCAGCCCCCGGTGCGTGTGCAGGAGCCCAGATTCCTGGCTCTGCCTCTGGCCGGGCCAGCCCGGGTGCTGCGGCTGCGGCTGGGCGTGCAGGGGGTTCAGGCTGTAGGGGTCGTTGACGTGGGAGTAAGGATCTTGCGACTGGGGGTAGATAGGCTGGTAGGGCGGGGGGAAGTAGGGGGGCTGGAAGTCGGCATTGGGGGTATGGGACAGCGGCGGGGCGCTCGTGTAGGGAGATTGACCTACAGTGCCCAGTTGGGGCAACCGTGCCGTCCCGTTGCTGGTGCCGTCGTGACGGTCCTAGAAGAGAGCGAGAAGAAAGGGAAAGAACAAGAAATCAGGCGTCGAGTTATAGCTGTCCACACTAAATTCACTCCGCAAGACTGCGTGGGAAACCGCCCCTTCCCGTCGGCAGGCCGCAGAAAGAAATGAGCTCCAAGTTGTTCATCTCGGAAAATAACCCAGAAGTGAAACGGGCCCTTCCAAAAACGCAGGGAATTAGACTGTGCAAATGTGGGGCCGTAAGGGACTCTCCTTAGCCGTTTCTTTAAAAAAAAAAAAAAAAAGTAGAAGAACAGGGCCTCCCAGAATAAAGTCCGATAAACCGCGGCGTGAAACCTCCCTTAAGCAAAATTAAAATGCCTACTAAATATTAAACAGTAGAAACAGCCTTTTTCTTTCCCCCCGGATTTGAACTGTGTTGTTTACCCTGTTCCATTTCTTTGGAGGGAAAAATCATGCACGTTCAAAGACTATTAGCATTTCATGACTATTTAAATAGAAACATTTTGTAGTGGGGCTACAACGAAAGCACACGTTTAAATTATCAGCTTAAAGAAGGTTTTAACTGCAGGTTGGGGATGGGGGGGGGGGGAAGGTCAGTCTTTTCCCTTTCCTCAGTTAGGAGCCCTTTTCTCCACAGGGTCGATGTATGATATGGATGGGGAGACAGAGACGTCAAGTCAAGGTTTAAAATAGAAAGATTCAGCCCTATTGGGTTAAAATGAGAAAGGTGCACCCCGGGGCGGAGGCCCCCGCCCCTTCCACCCCAGCCCCAAAGGGCAGAAGAAATGCCTGACTTTCTGTTCCTCTGAAATTCGCTTGCAAAACAAGCGAACTGAGTTGATTCCAGGGAATGCGAACCCTCGGAGGTTCAGCCCAGGCCCCTAGGGTAGGGGGCATATCGGGCTGCGTTTTTTTCTGCAAACGGATTTAGCATCTAATGTTGAGCACATCTCAGGAACAAGTGAAGACGCAAGGAAAGAAAGATGAACGTGGCGAGAAACACGCCTTGGGAAGTAGCGGCGAGGTAGGTCTGTGCGCCGGGAGATGTCGACCAGGGACCGGGGTATTTGTGAATGGAAAAGAGGAAAGAGGGAAATGCAAATGGAAAGGGATACCCTGATGGAAACCTGGGCTTGAAACCCGAGGTCTCTCGTAGTTCCGCAGCACCAGGTTTACAGAATAGAATTCCTAAGGAAACAGGGATGGGGGTGGGGATGGGACTCACCATAGCTGAAAAACTGTGAACTAACATCTGCGAAGAGTCTGGGGTAACGAGTCAGGGTGGAAAAAACAAGCAAGCCTGGAGAGCCCGGCTGCCCCGCCGCCCGAGTACGCCCCACACAAAAGGCGCCCGGAGCCCCGCGCCACCCTCGACTCCAGTCACCGCGCCGACGCTCCCCCGAGCGCTGGAGCCCCGCTCTGGTCCATCCGAACTTGAACCACCGATTCGAGCGGCGCCTTCAGGTGGTCGAACCCACGGTCTCTATCCTGCCGTGATCGGTTGTGATTCAAAGTTCCTTGGAAAATGAAAAGCCCCCAAAAAGGAAAAAGTGTGTATGTGTCTGGATGTGTGTGTGTGTGTGTGTGCGCGCGCGCGCGTGTTCCTTAATCCGTGTCTCCCCTCTTTTCTTAGCGGCGGCTTCGCTCGAGCTTCTAATAACCGCGCTGGGCAGCGTTCCTGGAGCCTCCTAATAGCAGATATTCATGACTATTAATATTACACGAATACTTAATAAGGGAAGAATGCCTGGAAATCGAGCGTGAAGCGGAGAGGCAACTCGCGCTGGAGCCGGCTCTCAATGCAGTCCATTGACGGGAGCCTCAGTGTAGCAAATCGGAGGTGGGGAGAGGGAGCACGAGAGACAAAAAGCGGGCGAGAGAGGGAGCGGGCAAGCGCGCGGGGGGCCGCGGCGCAGCGTCTGGCGAATCACAGGGAAGGGGCAACATTTTAAAAGGTTGCAGGGCATGCAAAAGTGAAAGAGAAAGAGGGAGAGAGGGAGACAGAGGGAGAGAGTGCAGAGAGGGAGAATGTGTCTGCGTGCGTGTGTGAGAAAGAAAGTGTGGGCGAGGGAGAGGGGCCCGGAGTGGGAAGAGGGGAGGGAGGAAAGGAGGGAGAACCCGACAGGAGGAAGGGAGGGAAAGAGGGAGGGAGGAGGGGGAGGGGGCTGAGTTGGAGAGCGCGGAGGGGGAGGCCGCAGGGGAGGGGGAGGGGGAAAAGGAAGCGAGCGAGGACAATCGGACCTAAAAGGCTGGAGCAGACCTCGGGATACCGTGGGGGCCGTGTGTCGCCGGCAGGAGCTACCGGGGACCGCGTCCGGGCGTTCATCCTGCTCTGGGCACCGGAGGTGCTTCCCCGCCCTCTCCGGCCGCGAGCTCCTCCGCTCGGCAGCCGGGCCTGGGACTCCGGACTCGGCGGCCTGCTGCCTCGCCGCTCCTCCATGTCCCGGCGCCCCACCCGGGACCGACCCTCGCCTCGGCCGCCGCAAGAGCTTCCCTCGAACACCCGGGGCGGTGCACTCTGCCGCAGCTGCCGCCCCGCCCTCAGCTCTCCGGGGCAGGGGCTCGGGGAGGGGAGCCGGGACGCGGCCCGGGGCGCGCAGAGACGCGAGGCTGCCCAGCCTGGACGCCGCTGGCACGGACTCCCGGCTCAAACCCGTCCGACTGGCTGGGCCACTCCCGCCCGACGCCCCCACCCACCCCCCGGATGACACGGCTCTTTCTCTCCCAGCGCGGCCAGGCTGCCGCCGCTGCCAGCCTGCCCGCCGGGTTGTCAGAACAAGCGGCACCTCGCCTCCTGCGTGTCCCTGCAGAGCCCCGACATAATTAGACAGCCCCAAGCCGGCTCGGAAACCCGAAATCCCTGCTCCGGCGCTCGCCCACCGCAGTCAAAGTTGTTGAAACAGCCTTCACTCTGTTTTCTTCCTCGTCTCGTTTCTCATCTTTTTATTTTTCTTTCTTTCTTTCTTTCTTTTTTTTTTTTTTGCCTCACTGACACACACATTCACAGGCGCCCCCACAGGGTCTCTCTCTGGGGGTGCAAGTTCATCGCCTCCCACCTAGGTCCCACAGGCGCCTAGCGCCGCGCGGAGGTTGGAACCACGAGGACCCAGAACTCAACGCCGGGAGCTGTGTTTCGGCCTTTGGGAAAGTGAATGACCAAGCCTCCAGCCACAGCCCGGGCCGGGGCAATTCACCCTATGAGACTTAAAGACTGAGTTTCACCCCACCTAGCACGCAAAGGGCACCCCCGTACTGAAAACAATGCAGCTGGACTGACGTGGGGTGTCTGCGCCCCGCACCACGCACAACAGGAACCCCAGAGAAGAGCTCGTCCCCGTGGGATGTCACCCCGTGCCCCATGGGGATGGGAAGAGCGAAAAGAGGGCCCGGGAAAGGGGAGAGATTTAAAATAGTCTACAGACAGGGGAAAGGGAGACCGGTGATACAACGTTCACATAAACCCAGTTTCCGATTTCAAGCGAAGACAAGCCCCTTGCCGCTGAGCCCTCACAGACCTCCACGCCTGACATTCCCAGCTCCAAATGCCAAAAATAATGAAAGAAAAAAATAGCAGAAGCCGGGACTGCCACCTATTTATTTAGGTAATCTCCGGCCGCGGTCCCCCTCCCCCTCCCCTTCCCGTGACTCATCGACTCATGGAGGGGGGGGGGTTGTAAGGGTGGCAGGAGCAGCGGCCACCAGGCCGGGTCTCAACGCCTCCCGCAGGCGGACCGGTGGTGCCGGGGCTTCCCCGGCTGCCCCAAGAAACCGAACTCCCGGGACCCTGGGTGTTTAAATGGGTTCCAATGAGATGCGCTCTATCGGCCCCACGGGCTACCGCACCGGAGGTCGCGTGCAGCCTCGTAAGGATTCCCACGGTTACGCAGCCTACTACCGGTCGGTTGCAGGGGCAGATGTGTGGGGTCCCCGGGGCCAGGAAGCTCCGTGCCGCGCAGTCCCCCACCCCCCACCCCCACCCCATTGATGCGCCAACCAAGTGGTTCAGAGAAAGAAGCGGCGTAGAACTTCTTGAATAACAGAGTGTACCTGGAGCGGGCCCCGCAGCAGTTTGGGAAATGAGTGCTCTCAAATTAAACCCGCTAAAAGGGAAATACAACCCATCTTAGAGCGAAGTGTAGGGCCCCCTTGTCCAAATAGAAATGAGCCTTAAAAAAAAAAAAGGTTGGGGGAGGAATAGATAAATAAACATTAGGGATCAGAGAGGAAGTTAAAGAAGGTAAAAGGTTTTCTCTTTCCTTTCTCTTCCTGGTGACTTGGGCTCCCAGAATCTCGCTAGAGAGACACGCAGAATGCACAGGCGCGTGCCCAATTGCCAGCAATTGCTTCAAAAACCCATACTTGTCTCTCTTCTCTCTACTCTTAGGCACAGACAATGTTGGTCAGAAAGAGGGGGAAAGTGGGGCACAGGCTTCGAAGGGGGCAAATGAAAAGGGGAGCGTCTACATCTTCCCTCTCCAGCCTCTCCCCTGCATTCTTCAGGCGAATCGGAGAGGCGGGCGCTGCGCGGGAGAAAGTTTGTCCCACCCGCATTTCTCAGCTGGCTGCGAAAAGAGGAGGTGCGGGAGGGTAGAGCTCGGACCCTGAGGCCGCAAGGATAACTGAGCCGGCGCCGCGCTTACCTCGCAGTCCTCGTACTTGATATTATCCGTCAGTTTCCAAAGCATTTTCATGGATCGGCGTGAACGGATTTGCCCCCTCTCTGCCTCGCACCCAAGTGCAGCTACTCTCTGGGTAAGCGCAAAGTGCCGGCTGCGACGGTGAGCGGAGGAGGAGGAGGAGGGAGAGGAGGAGGAGGGCAGAAAGGGGGAGGAGGAGGGCGAGGAGGAGGAGGGTGAGGAGGAGGAGGAGGAGGCGAGAAGGGAAAGAGCTCCCGTGTGCGCTCGGAGATCTCCCTCTAATGGTAGAAACTTTTCCCTTTTCCAGCTCTTTACCAACAGCCTAATCGCCTCATTAGCATATCAACAATAGTCCAATTGCTCGCCAGCACCACAATCTGCAGCCGGCCGCTCCGACCCAGGTATAAAGACCTCTTGGAGCCGCGAACTTGCTCCTAGAGCGCACGCCTGTCTGTGAGCCCTTGAAGTCTCCCTGAGCCCCGCCTCACGCCCCTGCCCCCCACCCCGCCCCCCTCCAATTCCTCCCCACTCCTCTTCTCAGTCCCCTCCTAGAGGGAGAAGCCCGGCGCAAAGGCCGGGTACTGCGCACAGGCCGAGCGGCCGCGCCCCAGGCCAGGCTTTCAGCACCTCTCCCCCACCCCTGCTGCCAATAACAGCGCTGTCCTTTCGGCCCTGTCCAATTTTATTAGAAATTATCCTCTTCGCAATTAAATATAACCACCAAACCAAGATCGGCGAAGTCACTCCAGGATTTTTGCCCAACAAGAGATCCTCCGCTTCGGGCCACAGAGCTTTGGGAGTTTTATTGGCTTTGCGCTTTACCCCCAGGATGGAGATTTTGCCAAACGGCCCCAGTCGCTCGGCTGGGGTTTGCGATTCTTTAATTGCCGCGTGTAAAATAAAAATTGTACCCTGAAGAGGTTACTTGACAGCTCTAGAAGTTAAATGATTTCCCTCTCGTTTGTATGAAGCTAGGGCCGAGTGATAACGTGGTATTTAGGCTAAGGGTTTTCTAGGTGTGATGTGGACAAGGATACAGAACTCCTGTAGAGACTCACAGCCGCTTCTGGAGTTGAGCTAAAATACTGACATGTGTTCATTGTGTCGTGCATGCATCAAAATAAGTCGCTGGGAACCAACTCTTCGCTGTGTTAATCTGCTCCAGTTTTCCCAAGATTCCCCTTTTTAATTAAAGCAGGGAGAGTTCCTTCATGATTTGGTGATGTTACTAAGGCAGGCGCGCTCGCGCGACATAGTGCCCCACTGAGGCGGACCCAGAGACTGGGCAGCCATCCCTCGTCCAGGTTGGCCAGTCTAGGCTTTCCCACTCTGCACAGGGGCCGCTCACCCGACTGGGGCGTTATATTTTTTCTTCTATTTTAGCAAAAATTTTAAGGAAGAAAGGAAAAACAAAGACGTGATACTAGACATACAGAATAGTTCATTTCTCTGGCTGAGCTTCTTCATTTGGTCTCCACAAAAAAAAAGTTTCTGTCTTTCTCCCACTTGAACACTGAAAACTCCCCCCATAACAGTAGGCCTGCCTCAGAGCTGCTCTACTGATTCCCTCTGGGCCTGTTTCTTGAAAATCTCCAAGTCTCCCAGATTTCCATAGTGTCTTCAAAGTGGGGTAGAGGCTGTTGAAAATCAGAGCTTTCCCTAACAGGTGGAAAGAAGGCAAAAGGAGAGAGGACCCCTCCCCGCAAGCCTGTGAAAGGACAGTTCTCACTCCAGACGACCGCAACAAATTTCCCAAGCCAGGCAGAGTAGGCCAAAGGCCCCCCCAAAAGTTAGAAGACTAGAACTAGAAGGGAGATCTAGACCCGGAGGGCCTCCCTTCCCACTCTTGGGCGCTCCCTGCGCTCCCCCCACCCTCACCCACCAGAACACTAGCATAGTCTTTTGACTTAGCCCAGCTTGAGGCTCCTCATCGTACTCCACCCAGGAAAGGGTCAGCTCTAGTGCTAGCACCATGCACCCTTTGGGGCTTCTCCGGGGCTCGCCGCCCAACACAGCGGCTTGAAGTAAAGAGATGGGCAGCTGGGAGGACTGACGCAGAGCGTGATCTGTAGGCCAAACCCCAGGCCTGGGAGCATGGATTTTTCCACCCCTAGACGTCGCCACAGCGTGTTTAAGGGAACTCTTTAAGTTTCGCTTTCTTTCTTTCAGTTTGAGGACTGAGGAAGGCATAGGCTCTTCATCTTCACCCAGCCCCTCTTGCTGCCCCGCGCCCTGCAGATCTCCGGCTCCGCACCCTCCAGGGCTGCTAAACTGTTGTTGTATTCCCGCCGAGGACGCCTTTGAGGTGCAGATTGGGGCCTGCGGGCTCAGCGCCGCCGCCAGTGTTATGGGCACCGAAGAAAGGCCGGGGCAAGCACCCGGGTCGCCCTGGGAGCCAGCCGAGCCCGCGTTAGTGGGAGCGTCATTACCACGACAAGTCGCTTGTTTGCATGTCAATGCTCCGGCCGCGCCGGAGCCCCAGGACGGCAGCGCCAGGCCTAGGGTTAGGGGTCGGGGGTCCAGGCCAGATTTGGGGGCGTGGAGAGAGCGTCAGGGGAAGAACAAGTCTCTGTGTGAGAGAGAGGTACCGAGAGAAACAAAGAGACGCCGAGAGACCAGAATGACTATTTTCTCTGATTGTCACCACCCAGTAGGACCCAAGAACCCAACTGGCCAACCCCAGAGCATCTCACTCCTCCTGACCCCAAATGCTCAGCGCCCCATTCAAGATCCTGGCTTCCACCACTTGCCAAACTGTGAGCCCACAGGAGCCAGGCCCAGGGTTCACTCCTTTCCCCTTCAGGCTGTAGTCTTACTGCTTCCGAACCATAGCTGGGCCCACTGGAGGCCTAGCCCGGCTCCCAGCGCCTTCTTACCACCGAGGAATTCTGTAACAAAGTTCTTCAGGCTTGAGGAGGAAACCCAAACACCTCCGCCAAAGAATTCCCTAGTCTTCACCCTCCAAAGAAGAGAATGAAGGGCCCTGAGGCCCACAGGGACAAGAGGGAGAGAGGTGTGCATTCCCAGGATTTGTGTTTGGTGTGAGATTTGCATACTTAAACTCAAAGTTAGTCTAACTTCGGGGACCAAATTTTATTTAGTGAGATTTACCAGGAGGGTTGGGGATTTGATTAGAAAAAAAAAACTAAGTATAAGGAAAAAAATTAATTTTGTAAAATGACTTTCGTTCTCCAAATCCAGTGAATGCAGTGAAGACGAGACTTACCTGAACTTTACTTTTACTGGCCCAAATCTGAAGCGAAAGAACTCATCCCAGAAGGAACTAGGCCTGGACTTTTCTTTGGAAGAATGGGGCTTTTGGTTCGAATCGACCCACAGACTTTTAGGCACATGGAACCTCGCCCTAACTAGGCCTTGCTTTGCTGGGACGGAAAAAAGGGCCCTGGGGTTCCCATTATGAAATCGGCAACAGGAGAGAGGCTGCTACCCTCACCAATCTAGTCAGAGCCGCCCTGGTTCCCATGGATCAAACGTCCGGAAGTTAGAAGGACAGCTCTGTAGGAATGGTCCGGTGGCCGCGTTCGGGGTCCGTGGTCCAGGGCGGGCAGGATCCGGAGCCTAGTTAGCCTTGCGGTGCCCGCGGCCTAGCAGGACCAAGTTTGGCAGGCGCTGATTTCGGAAAATTTTAGAGTTTCTGCCTCACCGCCCACCATTCAACACCCCCCTCCCAAATCCAGTCACCCCCATCAGTAGCCAAAGCGGTGAAAACTGGCTTCAGGAAGCGGACCGAGTGAGAAGCTAAAGTTTGAGCAAACTCTTTTAAGTATTTCCCAAAGGAACATGCTCACCTCGCGACCCTTCCATCTGGACCCCTTTCCATTTGCTACACCCTCTAGGTCCCCAATACTTGAAGACACAAGGAGAGACAAATGCACCAGAACCCCACTTCACGCGAAGCCCTGGGGTCTGGGGCAAGATCGAAGGTGAAGAGAGCAGAGAACCCTCCTCATGGCGCACCGCAGTCCCCGCCCTGCGCCCTCCCTCCTCCTGTATTAGACATCCACCCCAGTTTCTGCTGGGGGGTGGGGGGGCTGTATCGCAAATTACAAGTGACCCCGGGGGCCACTGGTGGAGCGTGCGCCGGACTTTCCCCAGCGCCCAGCCCGCCGGCAGCGCGTGTTGCCCCCAGCGCCGCGGCTGCCGCCTGCGCGCATTTTCCTGTCCTCTTTCTCTCCTAGGAACTCTCCAGGGCACTGCCAGGCGCGCCTCACCTACGACTCTGCTGCCCTGGGCCAAGACTCTTCCTCTCTGCCTTCCCCCCTCCCGGCCCCCTCCCCCGTTCCACCCCCGCCCAACTCGGCCCCAGCCCAGGCAAACCCCCGTACCTGCCAGTCCCCCATTTTGGCAAGTATGGACATCGCGGCTCGGCTCTCCTGGCGACGGGTCCCCGCCGGGCATGGGCTGTAGGGCTCGACTGGGCCCGCTCCCTGGAATCGCTTAGGCAAATCCTCCTTTTTTACCTGCTCACCAACATCTCACCTGGTCATAAAGAGCTGGGTTGCTACCTGCCGACGCATGCGCGCTAGCCCAGGAATTCACTCCGCCAGCCCCAGTCCCTGAGCCTCACCGAGCTGACCTGGGAAGTGATGGATTTATAGCCACGGCAATCTCGCCATCAGCTCCAGCTTTTCCCAACAGCCCCAACCCGCTTTCCCGGTCAGTCCCTGACTTGGGAACCAAGGCAGACTGTCTGCCGGGGTGTGCTAGGCGTGATGCGAGGGTGAGAGGCTGTGTTTTCGAACTCAAGCAATGGGGGCATCTACACTCTCTTCCCATGGCTCCCATCCCCCTCGAAACTTTGGGGCTGAGAGTGACTCCGGGATGGATGAAAGGGGGAGTGCAAGGCCCGAAGATAGGGCCAGTCCGGATAGGTCTCGCGCACCTGGATGCACGCGGTGGGGCAGATCCCCGCCCCACCCTCACCACTGGCCCAAGAGTTTCAAGAAAGGCCCGGGCCTCGCGGATCCGAGTTTGCCACCCCCAGGGCTGCTTCAGCGTCGGATCCCAGATCAAAGTGTTTGCAGTAGGTGAAGAGGTTCCCGATTCTGCTTCATTTCTGGCTTCTAGGTTTAGTCTCCTCCCACCGCA